TCTGGATCATTACATATAGAATCAGGAAGGCTGCTGTTCTGATTAAAAACAACAGAGAACTGACCAGCAGTGGATGGGTTAAAAATACCACCGCTCTGAGCAACAGCAGGAGGATTAACTTTAGTACAAGGAAGGGAAACCTCAAACAAGACAGGCTTATGGTCCAGCCATACAGCATCACAGACCTCTAAGTTAAAGACCAGTAAACCGCGAGTTAAAACAAGATCCCATATTTTTGTGTAGGCACAGACACAGGTTTTGCGAGTGTACACTAAAAGAGAGTAAACTCTAGCACACAAAAAATAGCCTAAATAGCACAAACAAACACAACAGGATCAGGGCTAGATGGCAAGCCAAACACATTGGTGCCATCTTGGGCACAGGACCAAGATACTTGATAGCCATCACGTGGGAACGGCAAAGCTAGACTGTGTACAAAGGGAGGAAATTCAAGATAGAAAGTGGGCCATACAATAAGACAACATCCTCTTGGAGCAAAGGAAACTAAAAGTCAGTGCTTTGAAATGTTCTGGTCAAAACCATGACCTGAAGGGTTCTGGACGAGCTGCCCATGTCAGGAAAACACCAGCATGGCAGAATCGAATGTGTTCCTCTAGGCTGGTGACTAGGACTGGTCAATATAAATGTTTAGTTGCATTTACTGCTGCACAAAGTGGTAAATCAAATATTTAAATAATTGATCATTGCCTCAATTATTTAAAAAAAAAATCCACATTTAGTTAGTTTTCCTTAATATACTCTGAAAACTTGCAGAAAATGAAAAAGAAAACCCACAAAAACATACGAGGTTGTTTTATGATGTATTTATAGGGGACTCTGAAAACTTCCAGAGCTGTAACAAAACATTTCCAGCAGAGGTACAGTTGGAGGTTTAAACACTGGCATGGAAAATGTGAACATGATGATATGCTGCATACAACAGTTTTCTCATGGCAATTTCAAATTATTCTAAATTCCAAGTACTAGGTGAAATTGTTGTGTTACATTTTTCTTTCTTGTCAAGAACGTCTCTTCATAACAACCCTGCTCTGAAGCATGGCCATATTCATATGATTGAGAAACAAACGCCATGACCTGAGATCATTTCTAATGATCCAATGACATGCGATACTTATCTTATCACTGCTTGTCAAGTAGAGAAGAAAAGGTCTAGCAACAACCTGTTATCTACATCAAAACAAAATCAGATCGCCGTTTGCTTTCGTGGTGTGCAAGGCAAGATGTGTCTTGTTCGGGGGAAAAAAAGAAAAAAAGAACCTAGTGGACTGTGTTGTAGAGTTTAATGGGAGCAGATACCAGCAAAGGCTCCTTAACAATACCTTTTGGCCATTTGACTGATAAGAGAATCCGAATAGTCCTTTTTGCTCCCCACACAAGTGCTAATGAGGTATAAAGACAGGCTGAAACACAAACATTTGTAATCAGATTTGCATTTCAAAAGTCTCACAGAGCTTTTAGAGCAATTTGAGGAGCGTGTCTCTCATTGAATGCAATCCTTATCACTAACTGCATTTAGGGAAGAATGGATGCTAAGGATTTAGATTTATTTATGTAGGACAGACCTTTAGACATACAAGTAAATTACCCATTGAATCAGTCAAAAAAAAAAGCAGAGCAGTAGTAAATAATCAGGAAACAGATGTTTTGTGTGTGTTGTGTGTGCATGTGAATGCGTTGTTATTGTTATTGGACTCTAACCCTCCACGTTGGATGCTGGCACTGTCAGTAGGGGCAAGATAAGAGGGATAAGACCAGGCGTTATACAGTTACAACAACAGGGGTGGGGGGGTTCAATAAATGCAAAATATGTCAAATTTCATGACAATGTAAAATCCTAAATTCTTTGAATCGAAGGGATTAACTTCTTAGTCTCTTGGATTACATTGGTCAGCTTTTTTTTCAGTTTTGCTGTTGATATATGTAATGTGTAGTTTTAATGGCAAGCACTGAGAAGAACAAAAGTGCCTCTGGAAAAACTAGAAGCCGAAACTCTTGCAGAAGCCAGGACATGTTAAGACATTGGAGTCAAAATACTTTTTGCCTCCTGGGGGAAAAAAAGAAAGAAAGAAAAAGCAAACACATGCATGAACAGACACACACACACACACACACACACACTACTGTTTCTTGTGACCCCGTGTGGTCCCTCCATCTATCTGTGCATCACTCAAACACATGGAAGAATTCACTGTTGTGTGCTTTCAGAACCACTTCTCATCATACTTTGTCATAGTTTGTGTTGAAACAAGATGAGATTTCTTTCTAGAGTTTCACTTTGTGTAAAAGAGAGAAGTCGATTCAAAAGTTAGCCAGATGAATAATTTCCAGATTTTTGTATTTATTTCAGATAACTTAGTGAAATTACAAAAGGGTCACAGTTTCAAACTTCACAACACAATAAAAATGGAATATTTACATTTTTGATAAGTGCAGGGATTTGTTTTAATATGTTTGCACTTATCCATAAATAATGCGGTGGAGGGTGGGGTGCAAACACAATATTGTTTACAGTACAAGACAGATATTCAATTATTGTATTTCTTCAAAACAGAGGTAGACCAGCAAGTCCGGTATCTTTGAAAATGATATAGTAGATGGAGGGTGACTTAGTTTGTGTTGACAAAGGACTGGTAGAGGGACATGAGTTGGGCCTGGAGGTCTTGGGCATAGGGGTCAAGCTTTTCCTTAAGGTCTTCTGCATAAGGGGCAACCATTTGTTTCACCAGGTGTGCTCTGTGAGTGAGCGCTACATGGACTTTTTCAGTCATAGGGGCAACACGTTTTTGGAAGTCCCGCAGGTGCTGGTCCACTTTCTGCTTCAGGTCATCTGTGTAGGGACCCAGTTGAGACTGCAGATCCTTTACACTCTGCTCCAAGCTGGTCTTTAGCTCCTCACTCTTCTGCATCAGGGTGGTCCTTAGGGCTTCAGAGTCCAGGGAATCTGCATAAGTAACCAACTCTTGCTTGAGCTGCTCCACTCTCTGATGAACCTGGGTCTGCATGTTCTCAGTGTAGGGCTGGAGCTTCTCCTTGACTGTGTTTAGTTCCTGCGTGACACGTTCTCTCAACACATCAGCCTCTGTGGTAACTTTGGTGATCAGGTCCTGGGCTGCAGGCTGAAGCTGTTCCTGGAGGGTGACTGCATACTTGCTGGCTAAGTCAGCGCTTTCTGTCAGCCGGGCACTAGAGGACAGATAGTGATTGCCAGATCATCAGTGGCTTGAATGACCCCATAACAGTCATGAGGCATATGCCCATCATAGGGCCAGTCATGCTAGTGCAGTGTGTCAAAGAACTTACTTGACTTCTTGTCCAATTGGAGAGTTTCTTATCATCTGGAGTGTATCATCAGCTGTCTGTGTGGCCTTGGCAATGTAATCCCAGAAAACATCGGTCAGCACTTCCAACTGTGGCTTGGGAGCATCAGCATAGAAAAGGTTGGCATGGCAGCCTGTTGGATGGAAACACGTGTGGTGTGAGAACAGTACAGATGTTCAGTTAATTATTGCCATTGCCATTAGCGTTTTCAGTGAGAAAAAGGTTTTGTCATTCATCCAAGTGACTTCTTTAGTCTCTGTGAGAGACTCATCCAACTGACTGACACTTGGATTCTTTCAGTGAAAATGCTACATCCAGATGAACAGAATTACATTTTTGGGATATAATTAAGAAGCTTGGAAATTACCAGAGAGCGCTGCGACGACTAGTACCATAAACACCTTCATGACTGCAACTAGCTGAAAAACAATAACAGTCTGATTAAGTTTTAAGTAGTCTTAAAAAGGTCCTAACTTTTAGATTTGCCTCTTAAAATACTGTTTAAAATGTAGTGAGATTCTTACCTGCTTTGGGCTTGTGTATCTCTTGAGGTTTAGTGTATGTGTGTTGGAACAGTGCTTCCGTGTATATATACTGATGTCAGATGACAGTAATAGTTAAGAGCACAAAGTCCAGAAGTCCTTGCCGTGTTGTAACACCACTCCCCCCCCCCTGCTTCTACTGTTTCTTCTGGTTACTATTGTGGTAGCACTTCTGGATTTTAGTATTCTCCTAATGTGAATCCATTTATCACTCAACAATAAATCTTGTATTAGTTCTTCTCTCACCCCTCTCTATAAAGTCTTTAGGGTATCATCGGCTTATTAACTGCCCACATTGCTGTTCAGCAGTACCAGCCTCTAGATAACTTCAGATAACTTTGGTATGCTAAGATTAGTGGACTTTGTATGAGGGTCAGTGTGACTTAAGTAGTATGAGATGCTTAAATGGTTTCTTAAATTGAAAACTGTGGTTTAAAAAGACCTCAAAATAATCATGTATAATAAGATTTTCTTTCACTTCTACTGAACACTTCATAGGTACATTATTTTTTAGCTACTGACATAGTGGTACCTTATTCCTTTGATTGGCATAGATACTAGGGCATGTTAAGTTATTAAAAGAAACTGTTAGAAGAAAGAGTAAGTAAATGTTATTTCCAACTCTCTGGAATGACTTAAAATTTTCATCGTAACAACAAGCAATCATTAAGGGTGGAAGCATATCTGACATATTTACATGAAGCACGCAAAAAGCAATTTTCTGTAAATAAGACCTGTCTATGAGATGTATGCATAATGTTGTACATCATGAATTGTGCAAAATGAATTGACCTGCAGGAGTATTGAAAAACAGTAAGGTTTAAAAAGAGAAATGTACTGCTTTTAGTGTCAAAAACAGGTAGAAACAGTTTGATATTTGAATTCCCTAATGGAATATTAAGGTAGAGGTTAATAATCTACATTCAGTTACAATACAATATGCCAAATGTCACTATCCATAGTAAAAATGTTTTATTTTCTATAGCTTAGAAAAGTAAGTGACACCTGTGAAAGTAACTATTCTCCCACAGGTAGTTTCAGTTGATGCTGATATTGTTTATATTGTTGGTAAGACCTGAGCCCTTTATATCAGGCAGGGACAGCTCAGTAGGTAGAGTGGTGGCCCCATGATCAGAAGGTCAGTGGTTTGAATCCACTGAATGGCTAACCTGAGGTACCCCTGAGCACACACTGCTCCCCGGGCGCTTAATGGCTGCCCACTGCTTCACAGCGTGAATGGGTTAAATGCAGAGAGGAATTTCCCCATTGGGATCAATAAAGTATACTTTCTTTCTATTACTATTATATGACTTCTCTGTGCAGACTTCTAGGTCTGCACAGATAAGACCTAGAAGACAATGACATAGGTATCACCAACAAATCACAATATACTGTTTAAGTAGCTGTTATACGTTCACCAGTAGTTTTATTGGTTATCCAATTTCTAGTACTAGATTGGATTCTATTGTACCTACAGAACTGTCTTAATTCCTCATGGCATATATTCAACTGCTGGAAACATTCCTCTGAGATTCTGGTCCATACTGACATGAAAGCATCACACAGTTTCTCCAGATTTGTTGGTTGTGCTTCCATGATGCAAATCTCATGTTTGACCATTTTCAAAAATTGATCTATTGGATTTTTGGACGGAAACGTTAATTTGTACTTTTGTCGGACAATTTTTTCAGCTTTATAAATAGTCAAACTGCACTCACAGTACTTTATAGAGGTACCATTTTCAAAAAAAAAAAAATTTCTGGTAAAATTGAGATTCAAGTTTCATACACATACACTTGAGAAAAAGAGAAGAACAACAGGGAAAAATGAAATAATTAATACTCGGGACTCCAAAGTGGTTTCTGGCAATTGGACTATGGCATGTCTGACGTGAAACAGCAGCTACTTTGGCCCTCACAAGCTGACAGTGCTCAAGTCTGCTAACCTTTGGTCAGACTTACACATAGGCCTGCTGAACACTGCCCTGACACAGAAGCAGTGTTGCTGGCAAAATGTAAAACTAAGAGAGACAATAAAATACCTACTGTACACGTAATCAAGTAGGACAACAAAGACATTAAAGCAATAGACTCTATCTGTCTTGGCAGAGAGTTATCACTGACTTGGAAAAAACCTATCAGCTAAGTGATTACAGACTAGCCTGTGTGGGTCGGTTGAGGTTAGACTTATGGATTTTGTATCACTCTAACAGTGGTCAATCATCAAAATACAGCATTCGAGTAGTTTTTAAATTTAAGACAATAGGTGTTCTTGTTTTTTTCTTGTTTTTTAATGGACAACTCACATATGATGACTAATGTGTACTTGTGTATATTGGGGTATACGCTCAGTGTGTATTCGTGTCAAAGAGGCGTGCTGCATGGATTATCTGGCACAAGATGTCAGCAAAGATAGCTGAGTGAGGCAAGGTGACAGCAAAGCACTAATGTTTGGACTTTGTGATCATTGCTGTCTGCCTTGCTATATAAGCCTCAGTTCCTCACCAGTTTAATACAAGCACTACCAAGTGGACTTACAGATACACTAACAAACTCAGGTAAGATGGAGAGCTAAAAGAATCTTTCTTTGACTGTTAACTGTGTTGTTAACATGCTGTGGTAACTAACTGGTCTTTTCTTGTTACAGTGTCTAAGAGCCATGAAGGTCCTTGCTGTGCTCGTCCTAGCTGTTTTCACTGGTGAGTATAAGAAAAATCATTATTCTACTATAAATTTTGGCTCATGAGAACATATATACATAATTAGCAACTATTCCGCTCAAGATAAAGAAAAAAGTTGGTGATCAGTGAATATGACCTGTATAAATGTCAAATCCCAGTGAATATACAAAGCTGAAATATCTGCACTACTCTGAATTTATTCATGTCTCCATTAAACAGGCTGCAATGCCAACCTTTTTTATGCTGATGCACCCAAGCCACAGCTGGAGGTGGTGACTGATGCCTTCTGGGATTATGTTGCCAAAGCTACACAGACAGCTGAAGAAACCGTGAAGATGATTAGATCATCTCAGTTCGGACAGGATGTCAGGTAGATCATACAAAACTTGCTAATTATGTTAACAGACAACAAATTATAGTATTGCCTAAAATATTCAGGATAAGCTAGAAATATAACTGCGCTGCCTTGTATTCACTATCTTTTTTTTTTCTTCTTATTTTAATCTAGTGCCCGCCTGACAGAAAGTGTTGATGCTGCCAACAAGTATGCCGTCACCCTCCAGGAGCAGCTTCCACCTACAGCCCAGGACCTGATCACCAAAGTCACAACAGAGGCTGATGTGTTGAGAGATCGTGTGATCCAAGAGCTGAGCACAGTCAGAGAGAGGCTCGAGCCTTACACTGACAACATTCAGACACAGGTCCAGCAGAAGGTTGAGCAGCTCAAACAGGAGGTGGCCACCTACACAGATTCCCTGGACACTGAGGCCCTGAGGACCACCCTGACGCAGAAGAGCGAAGAGCTAAAGACCAGCCTGGAGCAGAGCATGAAAGACCTGCAGACTCAGCTTGGTCCCTACACTGATGACCTGAAGCAGAAGGTGGACCAGCATCTGCAAGACTTCAAGGAAAAAGTGGCCCCCTTAACTGAGCGGGTGCAGAGTCAGATTGCACAGAGAGCCCAGCAGGTGAAAGAAATGGCCACCCCCTACGTTGATGAGCTGAGGGAAAGGCTGGACCCATATGCTCAGGACCTCCAGTCTCGTCTCACCTCCCTTTATGAATCCTTTGTTAAAGCCAATTAAGTTAACATCCACCTCACATGAAACAGAAAAAAGTGCATCTAAAGTGCATCTAAAGAATTCCAAATACCAAGGACATGTTCCTGGTATCTGGAATTTAAAAAAAAATCAGATGTTGTTTGATATATTTACAGTTTTAAAAAAACAGTTGATACATACAAAAAATATGTGTTGGTCTGTGACCACAAACAGTTTTCATATGTTGTAGAAAATAAAGTGAAAGCAAAGCTATAATTTCTGAGCCTGTTGTCTTATTTGAGTCAAGGTGATGTTAGATAAGTGTGGGTACCTGGAAAATATATTTCTTTAAACTTTAACACAAGAAGTAACTAGACAAAATTAAAAAAAAGATTTGTATCATGACCTAAGAGATTTGCGGTTTGTTCATGTTAGTTGGCTTTAAAAGCACTTTTTTCAGGACTGGTGATTTGATGACTCGTTAGTAGCTATTATAGAAAGGTTTTCATGCTATAAAGTACATAGATCTGTATGAGGTTTTACGTGTAGATTTGGGCAACTTGGACAGCTGGAAGGAAGCTTGTACATTGTCATTTAGCAAAAATCACTGGTTAAGCTTTCTTGTTTGTTCAGTAGCTGCTTGCAAAGGTTTGGCCCACCGGCACACCCCTGTTAGATAAAATTGTGGGTATTGGACAGGGCATGTTCAGGTTTGTTTCTGCAAGTCTGGAAGTTCATAAACATCTCCAGTTCCCACTTTGTTTTCGCTTTTGTGCCTCCATCCCCGCTGCCAGATTGCTCCCACGCTGCCTTACCCAGTGGCAAACAACATTCCTCTGCTCTGCCCCAAGCTGTCACAGACTCTCCACAATGTTACTCTCCAAGATCAGCTAAAGTTTACAATATTATTCTTACTATTATTAAAACATAATATCTTGGTTTAAGAAAAACTGTATGACAGTGGAAGAAAAAATAGGAGAAAACAAAAAAATGTTTTGAGCTCCTGGCTCACTTTTAATTTTGTTCACTTTGACACAGAATTCGGTTGGGAAAAAAAATACAACATAGACAAAAAAAAGGCTGTGTCATTCTGAAAAGCACATGCTGGTACATTTCACACGAAGTGCTTTCAGAATTAAATATGAGGGGGGGTTAACCCCTCTCTGAAGAACTGCACTGGCAAATTGTTCAAAAGTGCAAGAATGACTTTTCTCAGTGTAAAGCTCCAAGAATTACTTCAATAACTCATTTATTTAATCAGTAGAGGTAATTAGTGATTGGCAGCATGAAAGTATGAAAATGTAATTATCTTTCTAGTGATAAATAAACAAATAAATAAATAAATCTATTTCCCAATAATATCAACTGACTTTGTTGGTGACCAAGGATGAACATGTTGCTGCATGATCTCTGTTGCTGGATCCACATATGAGGCTTTATTAATTTAACCTGAAACACTGAATGCAATGTTGGCTTACACTTTCACTCTCAGAAGTCTGCAGTGTAACTTTTGGTTATGGAAATTCTGCTGTTGCAAGCATTTGATTCGAGTCAGCATGCTACAGTCATGCCACTCCCCCTATCAGGGATTCAAACCGCAGATGTTGAGGTTGTGTGGGTTGTGTGGTTTTATAGCTTTTAACGTGAAAACAGGCATTAACTGCAGTAACCTCACTGACTCATCTAAACAGATGACTGCCTATTTAATGGAGTGAGATCATCCCAACCAAAAAGTCAAATTCCTTAAACTTTATTCAAGTGAACAACATTAGGGTTACTTTTGTTCAAACTGTCTGTTGCTGTGAAACAAAAAAGGAGAAGCCGTTACAGTAGGGATGACTGTGCCAGATGTTTTATTGTATTACCTCATAGTTCCTCTTGTTTCTCTCTCTTTCACTTCTCCGTCTGTCTTGTTGATCTTTGTCCTGATGGCATGGCAAAGTTAGGATGAGACTGAGTTCCTGCAGTCTGGCCACTTGTTACACGCATAGTCAAGATGGTCTATTTTTTTCTGCAAGAATAGTCACAAAGCCTCTTGTCTGTATTTGTAATCACCAAGATGAAAATAAGTCTTAGTAGCTAATGTTGGAGACTGTTGCATACAAACTGTTGAACATGCTCCTCATGGAAATAAGATCTCAAATGTTGCATGACAATGTTTTTGGTAGTAAGTTGTAATTACTTTGTGTTTGAACAAATGAACTGTAGTTGAACATACAGTATTTTAGCTTGTGACTCCTGCAGTGACATACACTATACCCGTTTTTGTCTTGGAATAAGGATCAAAAGGTCTTTATTTTAGCACAGCTGTACCTAAACCTTCTGAGTTTAACTGAAAAAAAGAAATAAATCCCAGTTTCATGACTTCTTTCTTCTCATTGTTCTCCCCTTTTAAGGAGAACAAAGGATTTTTCAAATACCTCTATACAGACTGACCTCTTTGGGTTATCATGTTGTAATGTTATCACTTAAACATGTTAATTACCTGACCAAACCCATTTGAACTTTGGCCCTAATTACAAAAGAGAAAAACCAAATGGGCTGACAACAAAAAAGACAAGGCCTGAAGGGCAAATGTCATTACACGTGGGCAAGAGTGAACTCATCCTGCAACTTGTTCGGCAGAAATATGTGAATTTTATCAAATGTAACAATAATAATTCACAGCCAATGCAACAACAAACCTTTAAAGCTTTTAAAGCAATGTAAATGCAGGAAAAATATGCACAATGTCCCATGACTGTTCTGTCCTGCTGCTAAACAAATATTTGGTGTTTAACAAGCAGGGGTAAGTAACTTCTTTCTACACCAAACTTCCTCTGACTTACACCAGTTTCAAAATCCTGGAAATTTTCAGAATACAATTGGTTGTGAAAGCCTTCAACATAAAACCCATGTTTTATTTTTTTCCTCTGTCACATCTGTATAATTTAGATCTTTTGCTCAATATGTTCACTTTGTTCATTGGATTTATTACCTGTAATCCTTCTTTTGTACAGCGGGCATGTTGAGGGTTACCTAATGTGTCCCCGAGTCTGAACATGCTCATCATGTTGGGGTAACGCCTTCTGGCACTTACTAGATATTTGTTTTATTTTATGTCTGCACGGAAAAAAAAAGATTTAGAAACTAGAAAGTGGAAAATACATGGAGGTGCATATGATATGCAAACAGTAAAACCACTCATACTATATTCAGTTGAATGTGAGAGCAGGATTGTCATGCAAATGTGCCATGTGTTTGGGGGTTGCATGTCTATATGGGGTGAAAAGGTGAGGTGTCAATACTGTCTGTGTATTTAGATTGAAATGCATCTGTGAAAGGCTGCTTTACATCCTGGAGCCGAAACATGAGGATTTGTATTCAGGGAGCACATGGTGATAACATCAAAGAAAACATGCAAAGTTGTGAACAGCCTCCTAAGTTATTCAAGCATCTGTAACAAACCTACAATGAGCACTGGGGGAGGGGAACTATTTGCCAAATGGCAAAACTGCAATAAAAAGGTTAGAAAAAAGAAAAACATACAAGTGATTTGCGAAATAAACTCCGATGACGCTATCTAAAACTTGTGTTTCTGCATGCTCACAAACGGTTTAATTGTTTTGGCAACTATTCAAAACAATTAAAAACGTATGAGTAATAGATTATGTAGGTTATGGCTTTATTTCTATTTCATTTTGCACTAATAATCTATACGTCAATAAGGGCATTAAATCTCTGACGGAGAAATTTTTACTCTAAAGTTTTTAGTTTTTATTTCATCAGATACTGCTTTTGCTAATAAATCTAAGAATAAAAACGTGAAAACTGAATAATGTGACGAATATTTGTCGTTGCGTTGAACGTGGAACTTTTACCCCGTTTGTTCTCGTGACAACCAGATTGCTCAATCTCCCCTCCAACAAAGCACACCGTTTAGGTTTCGGTGGCACGTTAGGCAGAAGAAAACATGATTATCTGCAGACAAATCAACATCATCATCACCATCGCGCGAGCGTGCCCGCGCGATCGTTTTCTGCGCAACACGCGCAGAGACAGCCTCCCAGGGCTATAAAAAACCCCAGTCACCAACTAAAGAGCACAGAGGAATCTCAACCTCACAGGTGAGTGAAAGACGATAGAAAGAACGGAGAAACACGCTGTCCTCTTTTGTTTGATGCCAAGTCTTAGAAATTATGAAGTTTCACTTTAGTTATTGGCTGAGTTTACTTTTGCACATATGTGTTAAACGTAAAACTCGCGTTGTTTTTTTTGTTTTTGTTTTTTTTTTTATTTCCAGTCCATATCGTAGTTTATAAAAACACAGTAAATAGTGTGGAAGATGCAAATGTAAATGTTATTGTATTGCTGATTTTCTGAGCGTCCCTTATGCTTTTCATAGGTGTATCTGAGTGTCTAACAACCATGAAGGCTGTAGCCCTGATCCTTGCTCTGGCAGTCATCACTGGTAGGTGGATTTACTTGCTGGTTTAGTATTTATCAGTCACACTTTATTATATTTGAGTTACTTTATTTATCCATGCTTTCTATGTGTGCCCATTATAGGCTGCAATGGCCGTGCTGTTCGCCAGGCTGAAGCCACTAAAAATCCATGGGAGGAAAGTGTGGATCGCTTCTGGGAGTACATTGCCAAGCTGGGCCAAAATGCTGATGGAGTTGTGGAGAACCTCAAGGCCTCTCAGCTCAGCAGGGAGTTAGAGTAAGTGAAGCTGAGCAATTAATCAGTACTTTCCTTTGTTTTTTCTTGCACTGAACTTACATTGATTAGTGTTTCTTGTTCTTCTGCTTCTAGCACTCTGATCACTGACACCATGGCAGAGCTTGAAACATACAAAAATAACATTCAGACCAAGCTGGTTCCCTACACTGAGACCTCCACTGCCCAGCTTTCTCAAGACGTTCAGCTTCTGATCAACAGACTGCAGAAGGACATGCTGGATGCCAAAGAGCGCGGCACTGAGTATCACAGTGAGCTCCAGGCTGTGGTGGACCATAACACTGGTGATCTCGAAAGCCGCATGAACAACTTCATCCATAAACTGCAGAAGCGCCTCAATAAGGACATTGAGGAGATTCGCAAGTAAGTTGGGCAGAAACTTTTAGAATTCTCTCTTGCGTTTAGAAATATAAACTTTAATC